TGTCTGTCTACAAGTTAGCAAAATCAAAGATCATGTCATTTGTGTGAGTGTGTGTGTGTGTGTGTGTGTGTGTAAATGTCAGTAAAGCTGTTGTTTGTGATGTCTGACAGTCAGTGGTGTGTGATGTGTTGACAGGTGTGTCCCCAGGCGTCAGGTGTGTTTGACGGAGCTGTCAGAATATCCCTGTCCTCAGTATGAGTGTGTTTCCCGTCCGGCCGGCTGTGACCAGAACCAGCTGGATCCGGTCTGTGATACAGACAACATGGAACACGCCAACCTGTGTCTGCTGTTCCAGCGGAGCAAGAGCCTGGCCTACATGGGACACTGTCAGGTACAACAACACACACAACACACAATATAACACATCACACAACACAACACAGATCACTCTGATTGACATGCTGATTGTAATTGCTGGGATTTTTGGTTTAATTTGTATATGAGTATGATTTCTGACGTATGTGTGTGTGTATCTGTGTGCATGTTTATGTGGTTTATGAGGACACAAATTTGTATAATGACATGGGTATGACATAGGTATTACAACGAGAAGGTGATTTATGAGGACATTTTGAGTGTCCACGTAATTTAAAAGGCTTATAAATCATTCAGAATGAGTTTTTTTGAAAATCTAAAAATGCAGTATCTGTGTGTGTGTTTATCTATGTGTGTGTGTGTGTGTGTACGTGCTCAGGACGCCTGCAGGAAGCCCAGAGAGGTGTGTGGTCATAACGGGGAGACCTACAGTACGGTGTGTGAAGCGTTCTCGGACCGTGTGGCTGTGGACTATCAGGGCCGCTGTCATGCGGTCGGCGTCGTGTCAGAGTTCACGTCAGACTCTGGCTGCAACGCTGTTCCCTGCCCTCCGCTCTCCAGCCGCGCCTGCAACCCCATCACACCGCTCGGTGAGAGCCGCTCCACCACCCAGAGAAACATACATGAGGAAACTCAGAGTCTATATCTCATAATTCAGAGTCTACATCTCATAATTCAGAGTCTACATCTCATAATTCTGAGTTTGTATGAGTTTATATCTCATAATTTTTTAGTTTATATCTCAATTTTGAGTTTAAATCTCAATTCTGAGCTTATATCTCATCATTTGAGTTTATATCTCATAATTTTGAGTTTATATCTTATAATTCTGAGTTTATATCTAAATTCTGAGTTTATATCTCATAATTCTGAGTTTATATCTCACAATTCTGAGTTTAAATCTTATAATTCTGAGTTTATATCTCATTTATATCTCGAGATAACTGAATTCTGAGTTTATATCTCAATTCTGAGTTGATATCTCATAATTCTGAGTTTATATCTCAATTATGAGTTTATATCTCATATTTTTTTTGTTTATATCTCAATTTTGAGTTTAAATCTCAATTCTGAGCTTACATCTCATAATTTGAGTTTATTTCTCAATTTTGAGTTTATATCTTATAATTCTGAGTTTATATCTCATTTATATCTCGAGATAACTGAATTCTGAGTTTATATCTCAGTTCTGTTCATATCTCTCAGTTTTGAATTCATATCTCAGGAAATAATCTGAATAGTTAGATAAAAAGGTTGCAATTACAGTTTCCCACCACACACTTCACTCTTAACAATTGTTGTCAAACTGTTTGAGTCAAAGGCCCTCTGTTGTTCAACACAATATCTGAAGATATTTCCAGCATTTCTGTTGTACTTAAGACAAAGATGCTTGTTCTTAAACATTTTTATTAACAAAAAGTTGGAGCGTTGATATTAGGGAGTATTTCAGTTTATATCTTGATTTTATGTTTTGTTTTGTTTTTAGTATTTTATGTTAGTGTTATGATTAGATTATTTTAAAATGTTAATAATTTAAATACTTTGAGTCAACCTGCGGCCCCCTGGTTGAGAAGCACTCAGAATGAACTATTAGGAGGATATATTGATTTTCAGGGCTATCTATGAGGGATATCATTTGTGTAAAACTAATCGAGATAAACTGCTGTGAATGTGTGCAGGTGCCTGCTGTCCGGTGTGTGCAGGAATGCTGCAGATCCTCTGGAATAAAGCACAGATGAACAGCTTCGCTAAGGTAAATGTTTCATCTTCTCATTCTGCATTGCACAGAGCTGAGAGCTGGTCATGTTTAAAGTGTCCTGTGATTTTAGCCAAGCGCATTGAGATCAGGCAGCCAGCAGGAGGCAGTGTGGATCATTTAATAGCATAAATGCTCCAGCTGACTATTCCTATATGATCATGTTTCTCCTGAACAGCATGCCTTACATCAGCCACTCCAGATCTCTGAGCAGATTAGTGTGTTTGGAAACAGTGCTTTTATGAACTATTAACAGTGAATGTTTCTATGAGGTCTGGCCTCCCTCCAAAAACATTTAATAAAATCTAATGTCACAGATGTTGCATTTCATAAATGCAGCAGTTACGCTCAATAATGTTTGCCGATGCTGTACTAATGAACACAATGTTGCGATCTCCACCGTTACTATTAAATTACGCAGCTTGTTGAGGAAAGGTGTGAGGTAGCATTCATACTCTCTGTGTGTGTGTGTGTGTGTGTATCTGTGTGTATCTGTGTGTGTGTGTGTGTGTGTCTGTGTGTGTGTGTGTGTGTGTGTGTGTGTGTGTGTGTGTGTGTGTGTGTGTGTGT